CCGCACGCACCGCGCGGCAGCAGCACTGCACACACGCACCACGCGACAGCGGCACCATGAGTCGCGCGCACGCACCCGGCAGCAACAGCAGAGCGGGACCCACACGACAGCTCATAGGGGTGGGCCCATCCTTATCAGGACACATCAAGCCAACTCGCCGCCAGCTTACCTTATCCTTATCTTTATCTAATCTTATCTTTATCTTAAGTAAGAGTGARTTACCATTAGGAGTAGGTAATTAGGAGTTTGAGTTCAAGTTGGAGTTTGAGTTTAATTAGGAATTCCCTTCTGTAATCTCCTATTTAAGGAGCTACGAATTGAAATAAAGGCATTCAGTTTTYCAGYCAAGAAAAGAGTGAGGAGAGTTCGGGTGGTTTCTTGGACAAATCACCCATTCAGTTTCCGCAATAGGGTCTACACGCAAGGGAAGACGCAAGGGAAGGCAGGGCATTCGCACCGTGGACCGGCCCATGACGGGATCCTACGCGCGGGACCATAACACTTTCTCCCTTACCCTAATTGAGAACTCTCAGCCCCTCTTTCATATAGCCTTTTTTGCTCTTTCGTGAAACCACCCCATCAATGTCTTCTCCCTCTCTAATTTCAACATCTTAGCATGCCCAGCCCAACCCAGCCTTCTTTCCTCTGTGTTTATCCCATCCTAAAACTATTTATGATGAAGGGTGATTTGGCCCGACCTAGAAAAAAGGGGACACGTGGATATGACCTAACCAAGAGATGATAGCTCAGCCTAACATGCCTAGTTCGCAACAGTTGAGATCGAGTATTTAGTCACCTCGGTGCAAGGCCACCTCGGTATAAAGTTCACTTCGGCATCAAGGCACCTCGGTATCCAATCCAATTCGGAACTAAAAGACCAAAGTACCAGCTCGGGACCAACAACTCGAATCGCCACGTAACTGATTCCCACATAACCGACTCCAGAGGGTTCTCCAGCGAATCCCGTCTCTCTCGAGATCACGATGAGCTAACAGATCCCAACTTTTTTGAGATCACGATGAGGACTTATCCCGACTTCCCCAGAATCGGAAGTGGAACGATAAGCCTTACTTGTATACTGCTCCTCCGGAAGCAAAACGAACTCTATCTCCACACCCGAATATTCCGGAGCTCTTTCTTGAGCTCCACGACTACGCCAGTATATAAAGGCACCAACCCCAAGGGTGCAAGGTACGCGTGAATTTCTACTTTCTAGCTCTCTAAGCTCTCCATTCAGCTCGCATCAGATTACTGACTTAAGCATCAGAGCGACCTCGCTGGGTTAGCCACCCTGGGTTCTCTAATCCTGTCTTGTAGATTTACTTAGCTCATCGTCCGACTGGAAGCCAGATCATCCTCCAGCAGGGAGTAGTCAGATCGCGCAACATCAATTGGCGCCGTCTGTGGAAAGACGAT